AGTTTATTGTTTTAAAAAGCAATGATTAGAATTGTAATAAAAACCAATAAATATGATGAAGTGAATTTATACAAGCCATCCTTTTAACGCTTTTTGTTATGTGGACACAATGGTCCAAGTTTGCCAAATTTTTCTTGCATTTGTACAAGCTTTCTCTTTTCTGGACATAGCGTGTGTAAAAACTCTTCAAATGATCTGTGGATTCAAGCAATTTCAACTAATTAATTAGCCATTATCAAGGATGTTTTTTATTTAACTGAATTTGTTAAAAAAATATTCAAAAAATATAAAAGATAAAAAAAAATATCTAGATATTCAAAAAACATCCTAACTGATTAGTCAAATGTGCTCAGATCCACAGATCATTTGGACAGTTTTTACATACTCGATGTCCAGAAAAGAAAATATGTCAAAGATTCTTTTTTGTGTTCATAGATACATTTTTAAAAATTTCTGCAGTTTTCCCCAATGTATTGTGAGAAGCAAATATATTAAAATTTATGCCCTGAAATGAAAAAAAATTATGCGAACACATGAGAAATTATATAAAAAACTTAACCACAGCACTTTGCCCTTCATTTTCAAAATTTGCATAAAAGTGGGATTTCTGCCCAAATACACAATATATATATATATATATATATATATATATATATATTAAAAATTAGAAGAACAGTTGAATCCACTAAAACTTCCATAACTTTTGTATTATCCTCTCAAATTACACCAAAATCTCACACAATAACAATTAATATTGTATTTATTGTCTGTGAGAATTATAGAATATAAAACAACTTTGATAAAAACTTATACCTACTTTTCTGACAAAAATAATGCCATTCTGAACATTTTGGCCACAACTGTATATATATATATATATATATATACCGGGTTTAACAGCAAAATTGTCCAAATCTTGTTACAGCATAATTATCCATTCCACAGAATGTTTAATATCCAAAAAAACACTAAACTAATTGACTTTATTTTTTCATGTATCTCAGATAAGACGTTTAGCCATAAAACTAAATTAGAATAATATTATTCTATGTTTAAAACCATTTTTGTAAGAATCACTGAAAAAACTCTTTGAGTTATTCAGCTAAAAAGAAAGCAGGTTCAAATTGTTTTGTGTCAGATCCACTGTCTTCCCAACTGAACAATGTTGAGAGGAAAAAAATCATTCAGGCCTTCAGTAATGGTACCAATATTCATACTCAGGCTTCCATCTTCAAAATCCATTCAAGAACCATCAAGAGAACAGCAAATAAGTTTTAAAAATAGGAGGCACAGTAGAGAAGAAAACTGGATCAGGAGGTCACAACAGGAAGAGGGATCATCATTTTAACTTAAAACTAAAGAGTCAGTTAGAAAAGATCCAACTCTGGACGTTTGGCATGTGAGAGGAGTTTCAACTATGACAGTCCAAAGAGCAGTGAAAAGTACTTAAAAATGAAATCATACATGAAACCTGGGAGGCACCTTGTTATGAAACCTGGGAGGCACCTTGTTATGAAACCTGGGAGGCACCTTGTTAGCAGGTTAGGGAAGACAAAGATCATATTGAATAAGTTGAAAAATGATTCTGGAATAATATATATATATATATATATATATGTATTTAAACTTTATTTCAATCATTCATGAGCTTCCAATTCTTAGCTATGATTAATTAATGATGAACAGGTCATTTTCATTCATTATTGATTTCATCACGACTCTTCTGTTAAGCTTGGAGAGCAATTATACATTCTTATTGATCAATGTAGAGTTCAATAGTGTTATAAAAGACTCAGAGAATTCCAGTAAAATATCTTTAATCATTTCTAAGATGCAACAATTCAAATGTTAATCTAACAAATGAACAATTTTGCTGTTACACCGGTGCCCACATATATATATATATATATATATATATATATATATATATATATATATATATATATATATATATGCCGGGTGTAACATCATAATAGTCCATCTCATAAAATGTTTAATATCTAAAAACTAAACTAGTTGAATTCCTTTTTCTAGGCTTCATAATCACTGAAAAAACTTTTGAGTTATTCAGATAGACACAGAACAGTTTTAAATCGTTTTGTATCAGCCTCACTGTTTTCCCAAATGAGCAATGAGGAGAAGAAAAAGAGAAGTTTTCTTTAATACTTCATGTGCTTCCGATTCTTAGCTATGATTAATTAATGATGAACAGGTCATTTTCGTTCATGATTGATTTCATCACGACTCTTCTGTTAAGCTTGCAGAGCAATTATCCATTCTTAATAATCAATGTAGAGTTCAATAGTGTTATAAAAACCTCAGAGAATTGCAGTAAGATATCTTTAATCATTTCCAAGATACCATTGTTCAAAGCTTAATCTAACAATTGGACAATTTTGCTGTTACACGATTTGGACAATTTTGCTGTTACACATATAATTTTATATTTTTATGCGAGTGATTTTGTGTGTAGTGCCTTAGTGAAGAAAAACCCAAATTCCTAAAGGCCAAACTGTTTTTTCCATGCCTGCAGTAGATCCAACGATACCAACTTTCCACCACAGACAATAACGAGTGCAGATTTGATGCACCCAAGTTTCTCCTCTTTCTGCAGTTTCTTGATGACGTCACTGTAAATGGCTGCCAAGGTGGCACCACAAGACGGTTCCACCATCATCCGCTCATCAGCTGCAAAACATGAAAAGCAATATTATTAAAGGCCAAATTTCCTTGTACATATCTTTCTGTTTTGTATGTCAAAAGTATTATTTTGCAAACTATTATTTCTTAAACATATACACAGCATCATGGACCTTAAAAGCTCCCTTAGCACAAGATGATTCTGTGCGCCTGCAACAGTGCAGAAGCCTGTCCAAAATTTATGTTTTTGAAGTTAAGCCATTATTAACATATAACTCTAAAATCCTCCGTAAAATTAACTTAATCCTAGTTATCTCCCTTTTTAATCCAGCATCTTATTGTAACTCTGCATGTCCCTTCGTTCAGCAGAGTCATAGAAACCTATTGAATTATTAAACAGATACCATAATTCCCCATGCATAATACGCATTTTTTTTCTAAAAAATAATAAGCTAAATTAGGGGTGCATAATATGCAGTCACAAAATTTTTTTAAAAATTGCTATTTCATAGGTCGATTTCAGTTGCAAAATGACTACTCCCCACAGACATATGACAATTCGATACCAACATTTGGCGATTACGACCCCATAGGGATGTCAAATACAATAGTATATACCTAACAATACTTACAAAAGTAAAATAAAATAAGAATTATCATAAAACTAAATTAGAATAATATTATTCTATGTTTAAAACCATTTTTTTAAATAAGAGTAGGAAACACTGGCTGTAATGAAATTGGAGAGGTACAATTTATAGGGTTAGGTATTATATGTGAGTAGAAGCATTTTCCCACACTTTCAGCACAGTTTTAGGTGGGCGTATTATGGATGAGGGCGTATTATACATAGGGAATTACAGTAGTATATTTATACCCTATATAAGAAGCACTAATCTGAAACAGCAAACAAATTTCAAATTTGCATAATGCTAGAGACAGTGAAGAACATGACATCATTTAAATATTTAGAAGCATAATAAAATAGGACTATAATATAATATATAATAATGATATAATATTTATAATATTATTATTATTATCATTATTAGTAGTAGCAGTAATATATCTACAGGGTGCAATGGATAAATTGTCGTCTAGAAAGAATAATAAAAGAACAGGCTACAGGAAAACAGAAAATGGCAATTGACTTTGTATTTAAATCTTTGAAAACTGTATTTGGCAGGGAAGCTAGACATCAGAAGAGATTTACACAGGTGAGAAGTGCGAGAAAAGAAAATATTACAATAGGAATTACAATAAATTTCAGTATTAAAATAATGACACCTAGTAGGCCACCTAACAGTGCACTTAGAGCAACTGCCATGAAAATATTTGTCGAAGAGAAAGAGGGAAGCCATGTCACAGTTGTGAAAAAGTGACTGAAGCCAAGATGCCAGGTCAGAGCCAATAACATTATCGAACTTTCTTTGGATTTCATTGAGAATCTCGAGATATATAGCCAGAGAACCAGACCAGATATGACAGCAATCTCTATCTATAAAAGGCAGGATGTGTGTGCATGTCAGCAGTTCAAGTCGATCTCTGTCGACCGGTTGATCGGTTGAACTCCCTGCCTTTGGGCGGGGAGGAACCCAAAGGAGGCTACACCAAAGGGCGGATTCTCTTTCAGGGAGGTAAACTGACCCTGAACCCGTTTATACGGGTTCAATGGACATATTTTTGGCCGAGCCCATGGGCTCAGAGATCCCACATTAAACCGGCCATGTGCCACATGATACCCACGTGGTGGGGGTGACTAAATATAGTCTAATGAATGCGCAGCCTCAATTTTCAACGGATTTGCACCAAAATTTACATGCACATGCTCCAAGTTAGCGGGAAGGCCAAGACTGACTTCGTATTTCCCAACTCCCATCGATAGTGGAAATAATCGATTTTTTCATGCTTCTACGGCAGTTTTCATGTAGTTTGCGGCCATTTTCTACTGGCCAGCGTCAGAGCCTATAGCTGGCTGCCACGAATAGGCAGGAAGATTCTATTGGCCAGCGTGAGAGCCAACAGCTGACTGACACGAATGTTAAGTAGCATGCTAGCACACAAAAAAATTCGATAGCTGCATTCGTCACAAGTGGGAAAAATTCAAATCTGCATGGCACTTTACTCCAATTGGCTCATTTGCTTGCTTAAACTCAACATTGATTCTGATTCCGCAGAACTGGGTTGGGTGTGAAAAAGTATTTGTTGTTAACATTCTTTTTTCATTTGGTTTTTCCAGTTACGAGGCCTTTTTTTAAAGCTGATCATTTTGTGTTCATTTTGTTTAGTTCTTTTTTCGTAACAGATTTAATGTTTAGTATATAGCTTCGAAAAAATTCGCAGTGTGAGATGGGCAAGAAGTAAGGCATATAGCAACATCAGCACGGCAAAGGACACTCCTTTAAAGGCAAGGAAGGGCAAAAATATTTTAAGTCAAGTGATAGCGATTGTTGTATGAGTCGTACGATTTTTGAACCAAGCACGGGCAACACCAGGCCATGCTGCTAGTATTCAATATACGGATGAATGGTAGATTTATAAAAGTGCAAGATGGAATCTGACAAGACAAATGATTCTGTACTAGACTCAATTGACTACACTGATTCCAAATCTGTTCCTGGAATTGTCCAAGATCATTATATTTTTTCAGATATACCCACAGTATTTTCATGTTTACACAAATATTATTTTAATAATATTTCAGTACTGTACAGAGAGTGATGAATAAATTGTTGTCTAAATTACAGAAAAATGAAACTAACTACTGACATAACATTTTAACAGATATATTTAACAAAATTACACAAAAATACTTTGAAATACTAAAGAGTAAGTGTTGTGGATTCCATTCATGGAATCCTGCCCAAATAAATAAACAACGCCAGTAATTGAGATAGAAAATTAAGTGTATTAAACGTAAGAATACAGACTTGAAGTGAAGATTAGTAGTCCAGGAATGTGGGTTAGTAGAAAGTATATGTACAAGTCTCTGTAAGTAAAGCCGTAATCATCTCTCTCTCTCTCTCTCTGGACTCTTGTATAACTCTCTGAGAACACCTTGTGTCTGTCTCCGTATCTCTCAACCTGTCTCAATGTATCTCAACGTATCTCGATATTTAACATTCCACCCACGAGGAATATATGTGGCACAAGGCCAAGTTTAAAGGGGGTTTCCAAAAAATATCCCCTTTGAACACGCATAAGTGGGTTCAGGAACAGTCTACCTACCCGGACTAAACTTTGCCCTTCGGCAAAGCCTTGTCCGGGTTTCTCCCTGCCAAAGCAGAGTTCAACAGACGTCGCACACAGTCAGAGACTGTATCTCGATTTATCTCAACAGCCGGTATTCTCTCTGTCAGTATAAGTATACTTTGGACAAGTCCATCTTATGTAAAAAGGGGAGAGCCCCACAACAGTAAGTTTATTCAATAAATCACCATTGGCTTCAACCATGGCTTTTTTTTTATAAAATCACACACAATCACTCTCAGTTAAACACATCAAAATTACACAAATACATTTGCACACATACAGACACACACACATAATAGTAATATAACTTTCAATAGAATGTGCAAAACACACAAGAGTCATATCAGGCCTAAAAGGGAGTACTGCTGTCATATTTGGGAAGGAAAATACCCAGTCTTCACTTCCTAGTTTCAATAGAGTCCAAAGGCATTTCTGCATCCTTTTGGGTAATGAATTACTTTCCACCCTGCAACTCCTCTTCTCACTGCTCTATGGTAGCCATAGAGCAGTGAGAACATTATGACGCTTCGATGAAAAGTGTTCAGATGAACAAGCAATACTTAGTTCCACCAGTTCTAACTTTCACGCCTGGACCCACCATGATACGCACATTATAGCAGACAACCTTCATTCCCCCTGTATTCCATCGGTGAGGAGTTAGTTCCACTCCAGCAGCTTCTTCCCTTCTGTGGAACCAAAACTCTCAAGAGGATGTTTTTCTGAACACTACAATCTTAACCTGTTCAAGGTTAGTCATTATCTTCCCCATATATCTGCATAAACTGTGCCTCTTACTCAGTAACCCTCTCCCCGAAGTGACTCCAGAGCCTTGCACAGGGTGAACCATATTATAAAAAAAATTTTTTTTTTTTTAAATATATGACAAAATTTTCATATGGATTATTCTATTGAAAACAAAGAAGTTTACCCAAAAACTGTAGGCAGGCATTGATAGCCTCTTTATCTTCAACAACTACTGAGATTATATTGAACTTCTTGTAAACTTCAAGTGCGGTTTCCGCTGCAGTCAAGGCACCAAGACACTTTGCAATGCTGAAATGAATCAAAATTAGTCTAATTAATATAAAAAAAAATCATAATTATTATTGTTAATCTTTACGTGTTGCTGCCCTTGGCAACCCTTCAACCAGAAAAGAAGCTTACCCGAAAGGAGCTGAGCAGCCATTTTAGATTGGACACACAGGTTAGAGAACAAAGGAATCAAATAAAACATTTTCTTTCCATTACATGTTCAAGTTCCTTTAACTTGGATTTACAATTATTGACTAGATTCTTACACATTGTATGACATTTTAATAGTGAGAAGATTTTAGTGAGAAGAAAGGAGAATAAAAGAATAGGATTCTGGAAGACAGAAGATGGCAATTGGCATTGCATTGAACATTTTGAACATTGTAAAGGGCAAGGAAGCAAGAAATTGAAAGAGATTTCCAGAGTCAAGAAGTGCAAGAAAAGAAACTACTAGAATAGAACTGATGGTTGTATCTAGCTACTTCAACAGTAAAATAGTGAGACCTAATTGCCAATCTAGTAGTAGGCTTCAATTCATGTAGAGGAGGCAGCAAGGAGGAAAGTTCATTAGAACAACTACTATGAAAATATTTATAGAAAAGACAGAGGGAAGCCACATCATGGTATAAATTTTAGAAATGTGCATAGTCATTTTTTTAATCCTTTTACCCCAAGCCAGGCAATAATGCCACTAAAATACAAGGGGTTACTGGGGAGGGGGGGTGAATGAGAAGACTTTAGCAAGAAGAAAGGACAATAAAAGAACAGGTTTCAGGAAGAGAGAAGATGGCGATAATGCCACTAAGCCACAAGTGGTTACTGGGAGTGAAAGAGAATGAAAAGACTCTAGTGAGGAGAAAGGACAATAAAAGAACAGGTTTCAGGAAGACAGAAGATGGTGACTGGCATTGCATTAAAACTTTTGAAGACTGTAAGTGACAGGGAAGCAAGAAATTGGAAGGGAATTTCACAAGCAAGAAATGCGAGAAAATAAGCTATTAGAATAGGACTGACAGTTACATCTAGCTAGTACAGCAGTAGATGAGACCTAGCTGCCAAAATTCATGCAGTCAAAGTGCAACATTTTTGGCTTTTTTCATTTCTGATCATCCATACTTCTGCTCTTCCATAAGATTCTTGAAAATTTAAGTAGACTTTCATCACATATGGCTAAAGAAAATTGACTCAATTTCTGTTAGTAAACATCAATCACGTTATAATTGAAGTTATATATCAATCACGTTATAATTGAAGTTAATTTGGGATGACAAAAGTTGACAATAAAAACCATTTAAAATTGTCAAAGGTTATTTTTATTTTTAACACTAACTTTATAGTATTTTCTTGCGATAAAAGCCAAAATTAAAACAACAAAGATGTCTAAATTATTGCAGTGTGCTTAAAAAATATTATATAAAAGTCTCTATGATCAGTGCTGCCATTTGCAATGTCTTTTGCTACCTACCTAGCTGAGATAAGCAAAAACTCATCTCATATGGACATATTTTGCAGTTATCTATGAAAAGGATTCATGAGTTTTTTCCCCTCTGAAGCTGATTTCGAATTCAGACTGGTTTACATCTGTACTCCGTTGTTCATGATGACAGTCATCTTTGAGTATAGAATCCAGAGGTTAGCAGTGAATATTTCGAAGACAGTAGGGAAGCGTTGTTCAGGTTAGCAGTGGATATCCTGGTAAAGTAGCAGAGTAATTCTTCCTTCTGTTCCTCTTCGCCTGACAAGCTGGCACTGGACATTCGGATAGAGTAAACAAAATGGCCGCCTTTATACACGATGGATTGAATATTCTACGTCTTCTGATTGGTTAACCTTCTATTGGTGGACTATAAAGTGAGTCAAGTCATCTGGGTTGGCTCACTAGTAGTGTAATGTATCCAAAAATTGTAACATACTCTGCCATTGATGTTCTTTCACTTTATATTTCAATTGTAACTTAGAATATATTTTTGCCAATGGCTCCAGAGAAAAGTCCCAGTGCAAGTGCTAATGCTAAGCATAAAGCTATATTATTGGAAGATAAGGTGGAAATTAATCATTTTGTTCAGAATACTGTACATACATATCATAAATACGGTAATAGGCAATGGGGAGTGCTTATTTGCAGTTTATAGTGTGGTTATTTCGACTTAAGTCGTTTGTCAACATAAGTCATGACCTCTGTAACCAATTAATGACATAGTGCGCGATATACCTGTAACAAGCCAGTTATTTCAACATTGAGCTGCAAAAGAAAGAATTCTTATATATCATAAGGTTGCAACAATACCACACACCATGATGATGTTGATGTTGTTTAAGTAGCAAGTACATTTTACAGTATGGCATTGCTTGCCACAGACCTAATTGTTTTGAATTCAGAGTGGTCCCTCGAGACTGATTGCCAACCATAGTTTATCTCAGTGTTGAAACCACATTGAATCATGATTATCAATCTTAATTAGCATTGGATTGGGAGAGATATTAATTTGTTTTTGAAATGGACTCATCCCAAGCGGTGGCAACATTAACTGCCTATTAAAATAACTAAATTGCATCGGATTTTTCCTTTGGGGATATTTAAAGGAATACATCTACATCAATAAAAGAAAGAGAGTCGATGTCTTGGAGCTGGCTTATTAGAGACAATTCACAAAATCCACAAAGAAACTTTACATCATTTTACAAACTATGTTCTTCTTGAAACACGTTTTTTGTATTATTCTTCAGTGTGACATATAAATGATGCTTCACTCAGATTTTCATACACATTGAAAATACATTCATCTATAGATGTTCTTTATTTATAACTATATATATATATATATATATATATATATATACAAAGTACCACTTTGGGCAAAGGAAGGCAGAGACAGAAATGGACTGATAACATTACTGAATGGACTGGAAAACTCTTCACAAAAACTCATTTTTTTTTATTTTTATTTTTTTTTAAGCATTTCACCCCAAGCAAGGCGGGAAGCCACTAGGACACAAGGGGTTACAGAAAATTTGGAGCAAGATCAGATAGGAGTGATAGAAGAAAGGATGAGGAGAAGGGTAGTGGATAGATCAAGTCAACTACTTTATTTACATTATTTGAACTATTGTCCTCATCTTTGTCGCCATATTTATCACAACGTTTCAGCCGTTGTATGCTCAAGGACATATGGCACAGTGGAAAAAGGCGTTGGTTAGATCCAGTGACAGGACCCAAAGAGTGTGAGTTCAATACCCGGTTAAGGCAGTGGAGAACTTTCAGAGGGAAAATTAACAGGAGATAACTGATAACTGACATCCATTAAACATGGCACGTGGAACTAGAACAGTCTACCCCAGTGAGCGAAATAAAGGGTTAAGTTTGACATTCCAACCACCTGAAGAAGGCCGGAGCGTACAATGGCCGAAACATTGTAATAAATATGGCGACAAAGATGAGGACAATAGTCCGAATAATGTAAATAATGTACATAATACCTCATCTCAGAAATATAGACAGATATGAAAACTCAGACACTGGCATGCAACCGAGACATGTAGAGGGAGGTGGTCAGGTGCTCAGCTGCACACCAACCAATCCTATGACCACACCCACTCATGGGACTAATGATGATGATAGGAAGGAGTGTTAGTCACAGAGAAAATTATAGCCTACAGTAGGGAATGTTAAGGATAGAATTTGCCTACAAGAGTGTTAAAGATACAATTTTGCCTGTGTGTTAGGTATATAATTTGCCTACAACTGTGTTAGGGATTCAACTTGCCTACAACAGTGTTAAGGATAGAATTTGCTTACAATAGAGGGATACAATTTACTTATAAGTGTGTAGAGGATATAATATGCTTACAAGAGTTTTAGGAATACAATTTGCCTAAGATTGTTTTAGGGATACAATTTGCCTAAGATTGTTTTAGGGATACAATTTACCTAACATTGTTTTAGGGATACAATTTACCTAACATTGTTTTAGGGATACAATTTACCTACAAGTGTGTTGGGGTACAATTTATTTAAAAGCATTTAGGGATACAATTTGCCTATGTCAGTGTTAGTGATACAATTTGCCTACAAATGTGGTGATGTACAATTTGTTTAAAAGCGTTTAGGGATACAATTTTCTGACATCAGTATTAGGAATACAGTCAGACATTTATGTGCCATGCATGATACATGCTTAGGTAATCATGTATCTTTCGATACATGACAAGACAGACTTTTTTCTCACAGTAGGTTGCCATTACTTTCTGCAGTAGACCAGTTGCCATCCAAGTCTATATAAGCTGGTCTGTCCTGCAATTTATCCATAGCTAGGGGGAAGAAGAAGAAGATTCATACCTTTCCCAAGGACATTAGCATGTAAGTGAATGTAATAGATTCAACTGAGATTTGAACTTGGCTCTCCGATTCCTCAATTTGAGCTGCTATCTATTACTCCACTATGTTAGGAATACAATTTGTCTAAAAAGAGTTTTAGGGATGCAATTGCCTACAAGAGATTTAAGGGTACAATTTGACTACAAGAGGGCCTCAACTTCAAATATAAGACCAGGTGATTCTTTTAGGCATTTTGTGGGGAAAATATGGTGATGTGTTATATTTATAGTTCTTTCAAGCACCTATGAATTTTGAAGCTGATCGAAAGGTGAATACCTATAACTGCACTATCAGGTGACCATGATTGTTACTTAGAATAAACTAAAAGCAAATAAAGGAAGATAGACTGACCTGGTAATACCTGGGAGTGTAACGAGACTCCCTTTCTCAATGGCTTTGTTGTAACAATCAGCTCCTTTTGTTTCCATGGCAATTACAGGCACATCTTCCCAACCAACTTTCTTCATCCCTTCAACAATACCAATCAAGAGACCTCCTCCACCAACACAGACAATAATTACATCAGGTTTTTTGTCAAGCTGCTCTGCGGCTTCCATGATTAAAGAGCTGTGTCCTTCCCTGTGACATTGACAAAAAAAATAGTGTTTCATGTGAGACAAACAATACAAACATTTTTTTTCTTTATTGACTATCACATCTGATGTAGATATAGGTTAATGCAGAAATAATTATACGTTATAACCTAGGGAAGGTTACTGAATAGAATAATCAAACAAAGGTTGGTAATGAACAATAATACTTAAGTCAAGAACAATACATATAAGATCCACCAGCGGTGCATAGAAGAAGTAGTCAACTGCTAGAAGTGAGTCAAGTGAATTCCACAATGAATCTCCAACTGCAGACCAACATACAGTATTTACTACTGTATTTATGTGAATAGGGACATACCCATTATCATTCGTAGGTATGCTACAACATTATACAATATACTCATTGTATTAATTTTAAATAATCTTATTTTATAAATATCAATCACATTTTGTTTTTGCCTGCTACTTTGTTGCCTGTAGGTTCTCTTGAGTTAAGTGGCTTTTGCTTTCTTACAGATTAAACATGAGGAGTACTGAAGAATGGATAGACTGAAACATTGTATAAACAGCAGCAACTGTACGAACATATTTGAGCATTTGAACAATGTTGGATATGCGTTTAAAGAATTCAGGTGATTTACTAAATAAAATTAATGAAGATATAGACATGAAAAACAAGGTTGTGTCCAGTTTAGATACTAAATCACTATACATTAATATCCTCATTACCATTTTTGGGAGATTATTTCACCCCAAGCAAGGCTAATAAAGCCACTAAGATGCAGGGGTTACTGATTGTGAAAGAAAAAAAAACATTAATAAAAAAATAATGGAATTAAGAAGACAGAAGATTGTTATGCCGCATGTTCTTTAGCACATATATCTTTTCTATTACTAATGATTCAAGAAAACAAAAAAAAATTCAAATGTGAATCAACAAGTATATTTTAAAATAACATACAAGAACAAAATATACAATAATTTGTATTCAATGTATAGATAAAGGGAAAAGAAGTTGCTTCTCTTTTACCGTATTTTGATTTGTAATTGATTGTTCGAAAGTTCTCTTGAGAGAGAAATGTTCAGGAATCAATGTTAGAACAAGTCTGCTGTTAGAATAGATAACACAAGAATACAATTGATCAGAAAGTGTGTTGTGTTAGAGAAATCAACAGAATCCTGGTTGATTGAACTTGGCTGAGTCACAGAGAGATATGTATATATGTATTACAAAATTCTGTGTCTGTGTGTTAATTTGAAATGTTGTAAGTAAAGTCATAGGTTTGTGTTGACAGGCGAAATTTAGTGGACTTGACTGTCAGCTTGTGAAAAAGACACCTCTTTTAAAGCTACAGATAGGCTCCCAGCGAAACTGCAGGAAAAGTTGATTTTGCACTAAAATATGTGATTGTTTAAAATTTGACCAATCGCTAAATTTGTACTAACGAAACAAGTAAGCAAGTTCAAAACCAAAAAATTCAAAGCAATGACTGTGATGGCTAAATTGTCCTATAGAAAGGCAGTATTGATTTATTAGCCAATCGCAGACGAATAAAATGTGGGCATGGAAAAACATAGCAGTCGCTACAAGATAATGATCGACATTGCATTTAAACTTTTGAAGATCAAAATTAACTGGAAAGCAAGAAGCTGGAAGAAAGTTCCACAAGTGAGAGGTGTGAGAAAAGAAACTGTGAGCATAGAACTTACAGTTATATCTCGCCATTTCAGATTTAAAAAGATGAGACCTAATTGCTAATCTAGTACTGCACTTAAATTCATAACGTCTAGGTAGCAAATTTATCAGAACAACTACCATAAAAGTATTTGTAGAAAAAGGCATATGGAAGATACATTATGGTGAGCGTAAAGTGACTGAAGCCAAGATGCCAGGTTATGAGGAAAATATCTCAAAAATTGTAATGATAATGTTATGAACAACTGCTTCCGTACAGGAAACAATTAACATTCATTGACCAGACAGAGTTACTGTTAGTTGAAATTTATAAAATCTTTTTATTAAAAAAGTTTTTTGGGAAATTAACCTTCTCAAATTCACTGTTATTCCTCTTCCTAGGGTTGATGGACGTTTCCTGCCAAGTCTTTTGTTTAAGGTAGTGTGAGAAATCAACATTTTAGTTATATCATTATTTTCCTGTGTAGTTTCAAGTGCTATCTATTTTAGTTGTTGCTGCTGTTGGAATTCTTCAAGTCTTTTGATATTTGGTAAAGCTCTTTGTCTGTGATTCAGTAGACCCAGTGAAGTCACAGCTGTATACAGCTGACAGTTTAGACATTACTGAATGAGTCAGAAGCCATATATGACATCATCCATACGAGTGTCTAGATCTGATAAGGATATTTAAATACATGAGTTGAGTTCTTAGGTTAATGTTTTGGTTATGCAGCATCTTGCAGTGTTGTACAAAACTACTCCTTGCACAACCTATTCTGTGTTCAATTTCCATACATTGAGGTGCTTAGAGTTTGTTAATTCCACATTCTGAAGTGTTTAGAACTGAAGTGTTTATAGTTTGTTAATTCCACATTCTAAAGTGTTTAGCATTGAAGTGTTTAGAGTTTGTTAATTCCACATTTTGAAGTGTTTAGCATTGAAGTGCTTAGAGTTTGTTAATTCCACATTTTGAAGTGTTTAGCATTGCAAGTGTTTAGAGTTTGTTAATTCCACATTCTGAAGTTTTTAGCATTGAAGTGTTTAGAGTTTGTTAATTCCACATTTTGAAGTGTTTAGCATTGTAAGTGTTTAGAGTTTGTTAATTCCACATTCTGAAGTTTTTAGCATTGAAGTGTTTAGAGTTTGTTAATTCCACATTCTAAAGTGTTTAGAACTTAAGTGTTTACAGTTTGTTAATTCCATTTTCTGAAATGTTTAGAATTTGTTAATTCCATATTCTGAAGTGTTTAGCATTGAAATGCTTAGAGTTTGTTAATTCCACATTCTGAAATGTTTAGAATTGAAATGCTTAGAGTATGTTAATTCCACATTCTGAAGTGTTTAGCATTGAAGTGTTTAGAGTTTGTTAATTCCACATTCTAAAGTGTTTAGAGCTTAAGTGTTTACAGTTTGTTAATTCCATATTTGAAGTGTTTAGAGTTTGTTAATTCCAAATTCTGAAATGTTTAGCATTGAAATGCTTAGAGTTTGTTAATTCCACATTCTGAAGTGTTTAGAGTTTATTAATTAATATCATATTCTGAATTTTTATGATAGATTCAGGGCATGTAACATAACTTCTTTCATTTGAGTTCCAGAAATATAAATTAACGACTAATCATTGACACCATTATCAATATATGGAAGAAAATGATATATAAACTTTTATATACAAAAAAAAATTAGGAAAGCTAATGACAAAGTGGAAAAAACTTTTCATACAATATGTTTCATGGTTAGAACGTTCACTTTCTAACCATGAAACACAGGTTCAAATCTCACCATGGTCAATTTGTCAGGAAAGTGACTTCTTGATGTTAACAGTCCAGAGGAGGTGATTCCAGTATGCAGCACCTTTGGAAAGTGCCTGAAAACCATACCACAGGTTGACCCAAGACTTGTGAATAAAATTGGGAAGACAGAATCCTTATGGGTCATTGATGGCTGTGCTAGCACAAAGTCACAAGTCATCGTGACCGAGGTTTTGAGCGTGCTGGCCTTGTTCAGATTGCTAATCATGCTAGATAACATGTTTCTCTCCCAGAAATTATAACTAAGGTCTGCTCAGCATAATTGCAGTATAAACCACAGGTGGGCTCTGTGGGTGTTGAACAAACACAAAATGTGCCTGAGCAAGCGTCTGCAATAGGGATTAGCTAGCCACCCTAGTAGACGGGTATTCTTAAATATGAGTGGCCAGCCATCATATGAAGAGACATTGAAAATTTAAACTTTTAAAATTTAATTATTTTTTTAATTAACATGTGTTTAAACTTAGAGTCTTGCCAATTCTGTTTAGTTTCTTTTTGTTAATATTTTTATCACATCCTCTTCCTAGGGTTGATGTGCGTTTCCTGCCAAGTCTTTTGTTTAAGGTAGTGTGAGAAATCAAGTGAAAATCAAGTGAATATTATAATGATCAGAAAAGAATCGTAATATCGCATACTGTGATAATAGAAGACTTGCCCAGAAAAGTGAAATTTTGTAAGAACCTGGACATAAATCTACTGTGGACGATCTTATCAATTCACAAAACACATCAAATGAAAGATTTTTCTATTTTGTCATCAATTTTCCTAACATTATCAATATATTTAGACTATGCAACAATCAATGTTATTTCAAATTCAAAAAAACGTAAGTATAAAAGTAATGACAAACATCAACTCAATCACTGCTTTTTTTACTATTATTTTTTAGCTGTACATAAAATCATTACTCCTCGGACATCCTTCATGTAATGCTGTTCATACATATATATATATATATATATATATATATATATATGAAGTGTGGGGGTGTCAGTGTGTAGCTTGAGAAACTTTTACAGCTCGTTGCATGTCAGTTTTGTGACAGATTTCAGTATTGCTGGTCATCTGTGCCTGTTGTCATATGTCTTTTTTTTTTTTGCAACAGCTACCATTCTAGTCAGGTGCTTCGATTTTAATAAGACATCCTGCATGTCTATCACAGGCTCGGTTAGAAAGTCAAAGACCCCAGGAAAATAAAAAAAATAAAAAAATTCTATGACAGTAGCCTCGACCTACCTGTCAGCATGGAATGCCAAAGTTAAAATAAACACCTTTACAACAGATGATATATGTCTTTTTGTTCAATTATTTTTATTTGCACAAGGAAGTGCTGAAAACTTCTCAGCCAGGCCAAGAATGTCCACATTAAAATCCCTATTTATTATAGAAATTAACGATTTTTCAGAGGGGGTGAGTATAAAATTTAATTACTGCCATTAAAAGAGACATAATTAATAAAAATGAAATAGAGTTAAATCAACAGAAAGAAAGAAATGGTAGACACACCAAAAATGACA